TCAAGTTTGGGCAAGTGGTTTAATGGGAAGTGGCTTGAAAGCACAGAGGAAAGCAGAGTTTCAGCGATGGCAGGCAGTAGAGGTCATGTTTCCCTGACCTGCTGCAGCTGTTTGAGGCTCCGACTGCCACAGCAGCTATGGGAAGGTCAGCGGTTGTGGTGTAATTAGGTTTGTGAAAAGCATTTGCTATAAAATGAATAACAAGCGGAGAAATCCCTCCAGAATACAGTGTTGTCAGAGACCGAGAGCACCTATAGATGGAAACGTCCTCTATAGGATTAGCTGAGTATCCCAGAGGGTCAGTGTTAGTACAGTGGATAAACTCCTAACGTCTTGCACGGTAAGGGATCTCCAGGGCTTTCATCAAGGAGCGACAGCTGGGAAAATTCACCTGGGTCTCAAATCAGTGTAGGGACCTGGGGCTCTGCCAGGTGCGAGGAGTTTGGATAATCTCCCTGCATGACAGGCAGGCAGCAGTACAGAGCACCAGAAAGAGCCCTTCCTGCAGGACCACGCTGGATCGGGCATCTCCTGCTCCTCGGGCTTGGTCTTCCTCCCCTTGCCCAGGATCTCACGGAAGTCTCTATCACGGCCAGGAATACAATCCAGGTTGCATGCGTCTCAGCCCTGTGCTTTGTTCAGGAGACCAGCCTACCTTTCTATCAACTGCTCAGACACTCATTATATTAACCTGGGAGAGGATTTGCAGGGTTATGAGAAGTCATTGAAACCACTGTGATTTTTCTAGCTGGCTTGGAAAGAAAGGAAGAGTTTTATGAGGGATTTGCGGGTGAATTATAGCAATGTCGCTCCCTTGATTGCTTTGGAAGTGCAGTGAGGGAAAAAAAAAAAGACAAGAAAAGAACTTTTTCTGCTGTTTCATTTTCACTCATGTGAATCTTTCCTAGCAGGAGCAAGGAGGTTTTCAGAAAATGGTTATTGTGATCTCTTGCAAATGTCAAGTGTCTGCTCGGGGGATATGGAGAACAAAATTGGCACAAATAATTAGTGGCTGGTATACAGATATGGCAAGAGGTGCTGCAAATGAGCTCCTCACAGAGAGACCTTGGGATAATTTACTGTAATGCAATGCAGCCCCAGGTAACTTTGTGAATGTGATTGCTCACACCGTGCAGTTGGTTAGGAGGGAGATGGCACGTGGGAAATGTGAAGAGAAGAGAGCGTTCAGATTCTGGTCTAGTGCTGTGTGTGTGTGTGTGTGGCAGGATGGGTATGTGTGGCAGGGTGTGTGTGTGTGTGCTCATTTCTCAGGCTCAGTCATTAACACAACAGGAATGTCTTGAGCAAGCAGCACAGTTGTTGATACAATTAATGAAAGCCGAAATGTCAGATCTCAGGATCTTCGGCCAGTGCGATACAAGACAAAATGCAGGTTTCATCCCCTGCCCATGGAGTTTTATTGACTGCAAGGGCTGCTGTCCTTTATTTGTTTTCTCTGTTGCAGATGTAGGAACTGATTTATTTTAGACCTGTTTAGATTCTGATGTAAGTGTAATCTGTCTTTCATCATGAAGATAATTTAAGCAAATGGATGTAATAATGCACCATCCACAGGACTATGACAGGAAGAGGAAAAATGAAAAAAGTCTGCTGTGCCGGGTGTACTTGGGTCCTACAAACTTGGCCTCTACTACCTGCCATCATTGAAACTCTGTTTTCCTCTGCTTTCCTCTAAGAAAAATGAAACGAGTTTGCTGTGCTGGGTATACTTAGGTCCTAAGTATACTCTTTTCATTTTTCTTCTTCCTGTCATGACTCTCCTGTTACACCTTGGGGCAATACCTCTTCCTAAGATTTAGGAGGAGGCATCATCCCAAGGTGTAACAGGAGAGTCATGCTAAGTTAAAGACTGGAATGAGAAACAAGAGTCTTTTGTCATCATGATGCAAACCTTGTAAGGCCGACACAGTGCCCTGGTCTGGGTGCTGGAGGATGATGCTGTGCATGGTGCAGTACAGTTTGCTCTGCTGTGGGAAAGATGCTGGCCCACATCCTAAGAGGTAGGGATTGCAGGTGCTGCAGTCATCTTAGGGAGCAGAGATGAGATTGGAGGAGATTTCGATGCTCCAAAGAAATGCTTAAAGGTGTTGCTTGGCTTCCCACCGGAAATGAGGAGACAGAGGTAGGCTGACCACGTGGATATCTGGGACATCACTTGGGAAATCTGGGACACGGCGTCCTCACCCCACGCTCTCACAAGTCGGCGGGGGCAGGACTGTGCAGGCAGGCAGCGGTGCATGCCTGCAAGGCGCTCCACGCCGCTCCAACTCCCGGCCATGCTGCGCCCCGTGCCCCGGCGTTTTTGGGACACCCATTATAATTTTCATCAGCCGGCCAGCACCAGCCTCCGAAATCCAGGATTGTCCTGACTAAACTGGGATATATGGTCACCCTACTCTGAGAACCTACTAGGCAACTTCATCTGGAGCCTTTAGATAGATAAAGAACATTGCCTAAAAATGAGGAAAGGAAGAGTGAAGAGGGAATTCAGCATAAAAAAGAAACAAAAAAACCTGCCTGCAAAGCTCAATGAAGGTAGGGTCCAATGAAGCATCCCTTCTGGCAGCAACACAGCGTCTGTGCTAGGAGTTGTACTTTTATTTTGATTTTGACACACAAAAGAGAGGAAAAAAAACAGACACTTCTCTAAAAGATATAAGTGCCCTGACAGAACAACCGTCCCGAAGAATAACAGATCGGAGGCTAAACACGACCGCCTGTCATCGAGGGCTTCAACACAGGCTTCTCAGCCTGGCTCACACCGAAGCGTTCAGGCCCACAGAGAGCCAATCTCCATCACCTGCCAAACAGTAGAGAGAAACCGTTTCTCACTCTTGCATTTAATAGCTTTTGCTTTGCCCTTTATTACTATAGGTTTTTGTGTGCAACATAAACAGGACATGACCTGCAGCCATTGCTAAGCGAGTCTGGCTTTCCAAGAGAGCTTGTAAGATTTACTGTCAAATTGCACAGTAACTACAATTGGCCCGATAGAGCATAAAAATATGACTGCCACCAGATCCCATAATAAATCTCATGAGACCTCTGTGATAGGTAAATGATTACTTCTGGTCTCTATAAAAGATTAATGCTAGAGGTTTCATGGAGGAATGAACACTGCCACAAGGCTACAGCAGGCTGCTTGGCAGGTTTTCAGAGGCCGGTAAAGGCGTCCCTTCCAAGCCGGGAGTCTGGGGTAGTTTGCCCATCCATGGTCAGCCTGGGGGTCAAGATGAGGAGTGGGGTTTTCAGGCTGAACCAATGTTTCTGACCAGTCTCATTTCCAAAACTTCAAGTTGCCCCAAGACTGGGCACCCAAGGCGGTTTTCAGGGCAATAATTGCCGTGATGGTTGTGTTGGCTAGCTGTCGTTAAGACTGTTGCTACAGGAGAAGGAAGTCTCCATCTGAGATAGCAGAAAGGAGGTGTGTGTTGTTTGTGAATCTGCTGCGTGTTTGTAACCAGGACACACAGCTCTTTGGGAGCAGGACTACGCCTTCACTATGTTTGTACAGCGCCCAACGCGATGGAGCCCCACTTCTGAGATTTTTTTAATGGCCAAAAGGCACTACAAGATCACCTCGCACCTCTGCTGCCGTACGGTTACACTCGTAATGAGCACAGCGGCCTGTTCGGTACTTGACTAATGCTCATCTTCGGGGAAAAGCTTCCAGTCTTGATTTGAAGACTCCTTTAATTGGAGAATCTGCTTCCTGCTTTACAGTTTGTTCCAGTGATTAATCCCCTCACTATTAAGAATTTATATCTTGTTTCTTTGACTTCTAGCGGTTACTTCTTGTTATGCATTTTTTGCCTGGATTGAAGAGCCCTTAAGTAACTAGTATTTTCTCTCTGTGAAAATATTTATATCCTGTAATCCAGTCATTGTCATTCACAATAATGAAAGGGATTCTTGTTCGGGGCTTCTTGACACTACTGTAGTAGTAGTAAGAGTAATTTACAGGGTTAATTGCCAGGATGTTTGTCTCTCCATCGTCATTTTTAATCTTTTTAACTGGACCTACTAGCTGTAACCCATCTTGTCATAGAAGTTGTGTTTAAGTCATTAGCGGTACTAGAAACAATTAAGCATATTAATGCCATCTAATGTCACACCTGGTGAACTGTGCATCGATACAGCAACATGCAACATGATATCAATCAAAGATTAAAAGTTGTTGAAAAATCCTTGGACGCATTATCACTGAATGTAATTAACATCTAAAACCTTTATGATTTGTAAAAAAAAATATCCATGGC